TGACTCACAGGTCTTTTGGCTCCGCCTCGGGAAACATTAAGATTCGAGGGGAAACAAAATTTACTGTTTCCCTCGGGACCAGTCATTAAGTGTTTTTAATTTGTTTCACTTTTCGGCCAGCTAGATTCAAAAGCTACCACAAAACTTTATTTTGTCCAGCATTCGGGTGCGTCAATTATCAACTGCTCTCCCCTTGAACTGGAATTTGTCCTGCTTTACTTTAACCTAGAAATATTATATAAATATTTTGCTAACCTTATTTTCTCGATCAGTAACTAAGGTTTTGGAAAGTCATTCCATTGATCTAGACCTCGATAATAAGGGGTTTCTGTTTTAAAAAAATAGTATCTTATTTCAAAAACGCCCAAATTCCTTTATTTCTTTTTGTGTGGTATCACTGAACTGCCTTGCAACACTTAGGCGTCTTAAACAGGTCCTTGTGGACTCCAAGAAAAATACTTCTATCCACTAACGATCGTATGTCTCGATTTAAATCATCAGTACCCCATCCATGTATCGATCACCCTTGCCTCAATGGAGGTACCTGCGTGGACGCGTATTATGACTCGCGCGAGGGTAGAGATGAACACATTTATCATGACATAGCCTCGTCTTCCGTAAGTTTGGAATATTACTGCACCTGCCCACCGGGATTCAAAGGGTCGCGGTGTGAAAGTAAGTGAGACCGATAACTGGTAAAAAAGTTTTATTTTAAAAAGTGATTACATTTAAGCATCAGATATGAAAGCATACGGTCAACTTCTGCGTGAGAATTGCCGTTCGAGTTTTAGAGGAGAAAAGGTCACGCAGTGGTGAGAGCACTCGCCTCCCGCCCGTGTGGGCCGGGTTCAAACCCTGACGTCGAAGCCATAATAAAGTGGGCTACGTTTGTTATTAATTCTCTCCCCTGCTCCGAGAGGTCTTTCTCCGGATTCTCCGGTTTTTCCTTCTCCTATTAAACCAACATTTCCAAATCACAATTCGATCTGGAAAGTAAGGATACGTTTAAAAGAGTCCGCGAGAACTCCTAACCAAATAGTAACCAAACAATGGTTGTTTCTTTTCAGTTGATATTTGTTCTTTATGCCATCCTGAAGCCCTCTGCATTGATAGTCATTGTGTTTGTAGACCTCATTTTATCGGAGATGGGTATCACTGTAAAAGTAAGTACAACATTACTATTTCCCAAACTTTCTATCAATCAGTCCATGAGCTTGCTGTTTTAATCCTGAACCAAGGCTCTGTTATCAAAGTAGTATAGTAGGGACAAAATTCACCTGCTTTCACGGAAAAGAATGTCATCGTTAACGGCACGTCATTGATGCTGATGCAATCTTAAATTTGGAAGAGAATGACGTGATAACCTTCTCAGTTTTAGGATTAAAATGCCCTCATCTCATTCCTAACCAACAATTGCCCAAACTTCTTCACCATCTTTATATAAATCTATCTTTGACAAAGTGTATTAAAAGTGTAGTTGTCTGTACTGCTTGTCCAGCCGTAATGGCTAAGAATTTTAATTTTTTTTGTGTGTGTTTAATTTGTTTTTGAATCGATTTAAATCGCTTTTTGCCTTTGAAATTTGAAAATTCCTCTGCTAATGATTACCATATTATACAATGACCTGTTTAATGATTTCTTTCAAATTGCGTTATAATTATGTTAATTTATTGGAAAAAAAAGAATAGATTTTGTTCAGTGTTTAAAGAGGTATGACAGTGACTACTACCTTCCAGTTTGCGTCCGTATATAGTGCGAACCTCTGATAAGGGATATGCCGCGATAATTGACTTAATACTCTTATTGTTATACAGATGTATCCAGCCATTGCCATCCAAACCCCTGTTACCACGGTAATTGTATTGAAGGTCCTGATGGAACCTATGATTGTGAATGCCATCCGGGGTATTGCGGACCTCAATGTAAAGGTATAACTACTTTAGGGACAATTACTTTTGTTACTAAATCTTTGTTACTTTTGTTAGACAGAGGAGTTTAGTGGTATGGATATTCCTTACTCCTTTTTGTTTCCAAATTTGACTGCATTCCATTCTGGCATGCGCAGTGAGTCGTATTTCATATTCATGACGTAATCCACAGATATCTGCAAACCCTGCTTGATCTGGCCATGTTCCAATGGGGGACGCTGTATTCCAGTAGGAGAGAAACGTAGATGTATATGTGACCCGCCATATGAACCACCAGATTGCAACGGTAATTAAACGAATTGCTTTTGACTCTGTTACATTATCAGCATCAGTAGCTTAGTTTTCATTCTCTCGCGAACTGAACTCAAAATTTCTTTTTAAGAAATTCTGTAAGTATAGTACGTCCATGTAATCGTGCGATATGTTATTGATAAAGCAACTTGAGTTTAACACAGTATGGTTTCCTTGTGATACACTTAGATACCATCCATTTTCAACTGTATGTAATCCATCAGCACCACATTGTTCTTTGTACAGTGATCGACAACAACAAAAGTAATCATAAACACAAGTCGTGTATGGCCGAGGGAGATTCCTGTTTCATCATTTTTGAGTCGTTATTTTTCTTGTGTTTTTCTTTGTTTTTTGTTTGTGGCATATATAATGTAATAAGCCTTGTAAGTACCCGGCTAAAAAGGGTTGATAACGCATTGTCTGAATACTCACTAGGCTATGGATTATTAGGGACTATGGAAGGATGTGCATGTGTAGGTAATAATACCTGCTTGGTATTTTATTGTTTCAGTTACCGAACCAGATCTGTGCAATCCGAACCCTTGTAAAAATGGCGGGAAGTGCAAAATGCTTCCGGAGAAACATGATTATATTTGTGAAGACTGTCTTGGAATGTTTACAGGAAAGGACTGCTCTGGTTAGTAGTTTATTTATATATTTATTTTTTGTTTGTCTGTTTACTTGAAGTTGAGATTTTTCACAAACTACTTTTCCAAAGAAAGTAGGCGAGTTTAAAATAAAGAAATATAGTCAGAAAACTGAACTGGTGACTTCGTCTCGCGCTTGCATAACTGCGGAATTCTCCTAACACCCTCTCGTGTTCATAACAGGCTATGCCAACACAAATAACATTTTCTATTGCTTAAATGCTATCTTTCCTCCAGAATGCGGTTGTCCTAAAGCAAAACCAGTGGCTGATGCACAATACGTAGACTTTATTTGCGATCCAGTTGACGGGGGATGCAAGTGCCCAGATACAGAGAACGGAAGATATACAAGTACAGAGAACGGTTGTCTGCTAGGTGGTAAGTGTTACCACAAAGGAAAGTTATTGTCATGAACAATTTTTGGATAAAAATGTGTGACAGCCGCCCCCTCTTCCCCTAGATTATTGGTTACTGCCATCCAGGAGGTAGTCCCGTTCTTCAAGGAAATAAGGTTTAATTTCCGATCAAAATGAAGATTACTAAGGTCAATAAGGACGACTGCCTGCCAGGTGATGATAATGACCCTGTTTATACACATCCAAGAGAAACCAATGAAAATAGTTTCTGCAGGCAGATGAAGTTGTCTCAGTGTAGAATCGAAATTGGATAATGAAGCCAACAAACGGCATAAGAAATGCTCGAGCCAGCGAGTTCTCACCATTCTTGTTTAAACTGCTGAGTCAAAGAATTACAACTAGCCTGCGTAGCAGGTGTCGAAAAGGGAAGGGGACAGGCTAGGGAGGAAGGGAAAGAAGGGGGAAAAGGAGCACGCAGGCTAAATCACGACCTATACCTTTATTAGACGGATTTATTTAAAGTATGTTCTTTTTTTGTTTCTTATATAGCCGCTAATCCTTGTAGTTCAAATCCATGTAAAAGAGGCACATGCACAGTGCAACCTTCTACTCCACCTGCATTCAATCCACCTACATTCACTTGCGAAAATTGTCCGCCACCTTACTATGGCCGGCTATGTGATTGTAAGTATAGTTGTATAGCCATAGTCTATTTAACAAATCAACAATTTTCCATCGTCTGTAGTCTTGTCGACTATAGAAATGAAGAAAAAAAATTTGAACATTTAGACTTCATCTCTAATCTAAGTTTTACAATAACAGTGACAGTTTTTACGTCCATTTCTGTTGAAATTTTACGGAAAATCGCGCGCCCGCTAGAAAGAGAAAAAAAGAAATTGCGCCACCATCACGTCATTTCCATGGCTCGCGTTCTTATATCGAACCTAGCTCTTGAACAATCATCGCCCGAGAAATCGCTTACTTTATTGTTAAATTCTTCGTAGAGTGCAAAAAATAATGTCTTTCATTCATTTACTCTAAAACTCTAGGTACCACGTGTACTTGCGACAACCCTTGCAAAAATGGTGCCACTTGTCAGGACACAGGAACCAGACAATACAAGTGTGTCTGCCCTCCCGGTTACACTGGAGCTGACTGCTCATGTAAGTATGATAATATCAAGTAAAGGTACTTAAACAAATCTAGGACTGTCGTCCTAGATAGTTAAGTTCAAGCCAGAAGATTACGCCACATTTTAAGCAAGGTTGTCTTGTTTAGGATCATGTCACTCGAGCTTACAAAATATTGTCGTGTCTTTACTTCGAGATTCAGTGATGATAACATCGAATTTTCCTCTCTGAGCAATGACTGAAAGGTAAATACAAAATGGAAAAAAAGTCATGGATTAGCACCTATCGGCCTTTCAGGAACCGGGGCCAGGTTCCAATTAATTTTATGAGTTCATCCCCTTAATCTTTTATTCACCTTTTTCAACTTCTTCAACTTTATTTATTAAGAATGATTTTGACAATAGACTGGCCCGCAAAATAGCAATTGCTAATTTAGGCAGGTGGAGCGTTGACAGGGAGTGATATTTTAAACTTTAATTCAGTATTGGGTTTGATTAAAGTTATAAAAAGAAAGGATATGCATAATTTGCAGTGCCTGTGACGAAACCCGATAAGCATTGCCTCTATGCCAAGTGTGAACATGGAGCCACATGTGTGGAGCGACCTCACGGATATGACTGCATCTGCCCTCCTCAGTACACTGGACCTCATTGTGGAAGTAAGTTCCCCTGTATTTTTGAGACAATTTCTGTAAATAATAATTATTTCTGTACTTAACCAGTATCATTTTCTTGTCACCAATGGAAGCCTCTTAAAATTAAATAGTTGGCTGGAAAGGAAACTATAGTAAGAATTTTGGCCAGGAAGTTAAGAGGGCCAATTATAATAAACTCGATAAACCCAAGAGCAACAACAATAGCAGGCATTTGGAATTGGTAAATCGTAAGCAGACTTAAATTTGTCTAAATCTTACAATAAACTATATGAGGCATTTCTTATAAATCCCTGTATAACAAGACATTTTATTAAAATCAGTGTTGAGGAAACTGCAGTCAAAGTTAGTCCTTTAAGTTTTTTTAACGAAAACAGATGGTCTTCTTTTTCTAAGGAAAGACTGCATTACTTCCTAATATTTTATTTCATTCGTAGTTGATAAATGTGCTAATTGTGACATAAATGCCGACTGTATTTATGGACGATGTCGCTGCAGAAAAGGGTATATTGGTACTGGATATGTTTGTGAGAAGAGTAAGTAAAAGCTACTGTAACGTTACAATTCATAAGCCCATCTAGTTCTCTCTATACGCGAAATAATACGTTCGCCGTGCACTACAATGATATGACCAATCACTTCTAAGTTGTTACTAAAAGATATCATAGATTATTGATAGTGTTGGCCTCTTTGATGATTTTGGAAAGTCAGTGACCAAAGATTAAAAATCCAGCGTGTTTCTATTCATTTGAATTGTTTTAACAAATCTATATCTTTTTCATGAATGCTCGCTGTTTACCTTGTAATTGAAATTTGAAAAACAAGTTATAGTCTCTAAAGGTATAAGATTTGCTAGTATAGTAGCTTTCGACTGTATCCTGCATATCAGCGTCCAACCCCAAATAGAGATGGGGTCCCCGCGATCTTTAATCATTTTTGTCACGTGACTAATTCATGCTACAACATTAGAGAAAAAATTAAGACCTCTTGAGACTAGAATATATTTTTTGAAATTTAAATTTATTGTTTTTTCTTCTTTTTAATTTGGAAAAGAGTCAAAATGTGGTATTTGTCCTGTTCATCATCATTGTGTAGAAGGAGTCTGTGTATGCATGCCTGGATTCGTTTGTCAAGGTAATTATAATACCCAGGGAGTCACCCAAAAGCATCAAAAATCATTTAAAAATATCTTAAGTTTCTCTGTTTCTGTCCAGAGGTACAGTCGCAGCGTAGGTCAACCACATCAGACAAATAACGGAGAATACGTACATGTATTTAATCGGTCCAAATCACCAATTTTGTAATCACTGAATGACAATTAACGCAACACCTTATGATAAATACCAGTGAAAAATACCGTTTATGAATGGTGACTTATGTCTTATTAAAGAAGAACCTGAGTGTGGTACTTTATTTGTCCAGTTCATTATCGCTGTGTAAAAGGAGTCTGCGAATGCATGCCCGGATTCGTTTGTCAAAAAAAGAAAGTAATATAAGTTTTATCATTATTCTTTCTTCATACTTAAGGAGTCCCGGTAAGAACTCTGTGACCTTAAATCGCGCATTCCCTAATAAAATTCATCATCAGGATGGATAACAATCCAGCACATCACCAATTTTGCCATCACTGAATGATGATTTTCAACACAGCAGCTTAAGATAAATAAGTAAATAATACGCGGAAAATAACGATTGTGAATGGTTTCTTTTATTTCGTTGTTTTAATCAAGAAGAAGAAGAACCTGAGTGTGGTATTTGTCCTGTTCATCATCGCTGTGTAAAAGGAGTCTGTGTATGCATGCCTGGATTCGTTTGTCAAGGTAATAATTATACTCAGGGAGTCACCCAAAGCATCAAAAATCATTAAAAATATCTTAAGTTTCTCTGTTTCTGTCCAGATGTACAGTCGCAGCGTAGGTCAACCACATCAGACGAATAACCGAAAATACGTACATGTATTTAATCGGTCGACATCACCAATTTTGTAATCACTGAATGACAATTAACGCAACACCTTATGATAAATACCAGTCGGAAAAATACCGTTTATGAATGGTGAATTATGTCTTATTAAAGAAGAACCTGAGTGTAGTACGTATTTGTCCAGTTCATCATCGCTGTGTAAAAGGAGTCTGCGAATGCATGCCCGGATTCGTTTTTCAAAATAACAAAGTAATATAAGTTTTATCATTATTCTTTCTTCATACTTAAGGAGTCCCGGTAAGAACTTTGTGACCTTAAATCGCGCATTCCCTAATAAAATTCATCATCAGGATGGATAACAATCCTTCACATCACCAATTTTGCCATCACTGAATGATGATTTACAACACAACAGCTTAAGATAGATAAGTAATTATTACACGGTAAATAACGATTATGAATGGTTTCTTTTATTTCGTTGTTTTAATCAAGAAGAAGAAGAACCTGAGTGTGGTATTTGTCCAGTTCATCATCGCTGTGTACAAGGCAGATGCGTCTGTATTCCCGGGTACCTTTGTTGAGGTAAGCTGAGGTAACAACAACAAATAATAATAATAATAATAAAAATAACCATGATCATCATCATCACCATCATCGTCATCGTCATCGTCATCGCCAACGTCGTCGTCATCATCATCATCACCGTAATCATAATAACAATGATAATAATCGCAACCTAAAAAATGTAGGAATTGCGGTCTTTTTTGCAATCGTTAGTATAATGTTTTGGTTTGATTTCAGATTTGCAACATCGACAGAAGAGAAAAAGACGCTGTAATAATAGTCTTCAGACGTTTTCACTGACCTCAGTGACGTGATGTTAATATGTTTACATTACTCTTCTCTATAGATAAAGGATACGGATTGTAAGATATTGTTTAATATACCATCCAGTTTAAAAGGGATCCTTCAATGTTCTTGGATTAGAGAAATTCTAAGCCGATGCTTAACTAGTCGACATCATAAAAGTTATTGTCATTTTATATTTCTTTGCAAATTTTGAAAGCTTCGAAAGCATGTAACCCTTGTTCTATTAATTGTCCAGTAATTAATAGTCTGATTTTTCAGTCGCAAAATTGTCTCATGTTGCTAGGAATGCTATATCCAGGGCCAGTTTCAAGATACTGGTGACATGAGCAACAACCCTAACCCTATCTTATCAAGCCACTGTCGGTTGTCACCAAACCCTGTCGAAGCGGAATGCTCTACATGGCCAGTCTATGCTGCCTTTATGTCGAGTGTTTGAGTTAAAGTTCAATAAATAATACCATCTAGGGAACATGGTATTTATTAAGTATTTATATCGATATTGAAAGTTTGAGTTTTTATCTCAGGGGTAAAGAATTTTATAAAAGACAGACATAAGGTGAACTACAGTAAAACCACGATACAATAAAATATACTAAATAAAATATGATCGTAATAAAATAAGGCAAACTGAGGTAAAGAGCAAATAATAAATAAAGGCTTTTTTAAAAAAATATTTTTGAGTACTCCTTTTCCTGCTTTGTTTTGTGTTTAATTCGAACTGAGAACTACGTTATTTCTTTGTAGAAAGAAAAAAAAATTGCTATTTAATAACGTTAAATCAAAGTTTTTTAGTTGGACCCGGCGGTTACTCAAAAAAGTTTCAAAAGGGAAGGCGCCGCCTCGGGGTCCAATCCCTTGTTTTTTTATATACCATTTTTAACACAACAACAACAAGAAGCTTTATTTGCATGACCATACATGTACATATAGTATTGCAAAAGCTACTTAAAGAGAAAAAACAGAAAAACTAAAATTTCATCTTATTGCAATTAATTTACTTTGCTAACAATTTTTCACACAGTTGTTCCCCCTTCCTGCACCTTCTGTTGACAAAATGGTACCCCTTTCACATACGAGGTGTAGACCTTTACGTTCTCCAAACTGCTGTTAATGCACTGTTTTGAAATATGAGCTAATATGAATAAATGACAAAACCAGGTTTATTCTCGTCTTTTTCACAGCCATAAATTGCATCTGTTATAAGCCCTTTAGGGATTTTTTATAGACCGAAATTTATTTCTAACAGTGAAATCCCGCCCCTTTATCACCTGGGCCGGGTTGTTCAAAGTTAGTTTAAGATAACCCAGGGTTAGTGGGAATTTTGAAATGAGATATGAGAGCTTAAGAAGCAAATTCAGTTTAATTCTCTTTGCCGACAATTTGATGATTGGATACTCTAAAAAAATTAGAGAAAATTATCCGAGAGAGTGCTTTTCATAAAAAGATAAAGCATTCCGGGTTAAAATTTAAGCCCGGGTTAGCGCTAACCGGCGTTCGAACAACTGGGCCCAGAAGCCTGAAAAAGTACCTCAATAGGGCGGATTCTCCATGTACATGGAGAAACTGATCGGGCGTTGCATGATAGTTCCTTGAAAGGAACTGCGCAGCAAAGAAAGGTGCAGGTCGACAATTATTTAGACCCGTTATAGTTAAGCTGGTGTAAACTGTTCGTTTGTTAATTCTTTAAAAAGTAAGCAATACCGTAGACGACCGTCGCAGGACCCTCGCTGGGAAGTAAAATTTAATCTCAATGAAGCTAGACCGTAGAACAGGAACAAAAAATCAACTAAAACAAAATCATTTCATCTGTAATCAGTTCATGATCTTAGAGAAAGAAAATAACCTTGATCCACCTACACTTGGGCGTGTCACTTTTAGCCATTTATTATTTATATAATAAGCGACTTTACAAGTTTTTGTTTTCCATGCAGGTGACTGAATTTTTGTTAGTATATTAAAATGCCAAGAGACAAGAACTTAATATGGCCATGATATGAAGAGAGCATATCGCCTCTGTGTTTCATGTAGAAGATTTTTTTAGCTGCGCTTAGATCCTTTAAGCAGTGGTGTAAAAATTCAACGTCGAAATGATCGCCCCCGGTTCTCTGTTAAGGCTTGTTGCTTTGATATTTGTTATTATTATTGACGGTATCGTGCACGCGAGACATTTAAAGGTGCATTCTAAAGATACACATTCAAGCGGACGAAAGAAGACACAATTGGAAGGTGCTAACACAACTTCTCAATGCTCTAACTCGACTGCCCATGAAAATTCGTGTATCCCTGTTCATATTCCTGTTCCTGTGCCCGTACAAACTCCCGATGTAAACGAACTGCACGTCTACATCCATGATGGTAGGTCATTAAAGGTACGATATAACTTATAACGAAAACAAGAGGTAGTGTGATAGAGTGCTTCCAACATATATGAACAGTCCTCCTTTGTACTCTAAATTTCTTTTCTTATGTCACCTTTAATGTGCACGTCGTGTTTTATTATGCGTTTATTTTGCCACGGAACTTAAATAGTTGCAAACTGCCTGCTTCATCTGCATTTAAACGAAATGACTCATTTCTCATATGACCTGAAGATCGAAATGCAGCAGACTAACATTTTTCCTTGAAATATTATTTGCAATAAATATTATTTTCAGTACTAAGTTATGATAAAAGATGTTTTGTCTTTAGCCTCAGACAAAGAAGGTGCTAACATCTCTTTGTCTAAATACAACTACCTATAAATTAAGATTTCTGTTGACTTATTTAAAGGACAATGATTAGAAGCGTTTACCAAAGACCTAAAATCAAGCGTGTAAAGAAAAAGAATGTATTCAGAAATTTGATTTCAAATTGTTTTCTAGGTGAGAGTTATTATTTTATTATATGAAGTTTTTCGTCCTCGACTTATTTAAATGTCAGTCGTCGAGGAACCAGTTTTACCACCCACTGAAATAGAATGGGTTGAATTTACAAAGCAGGTAAAAAGTTCAGGAAAAAAGGTTCGAATAAAAAAGTTTCTTACTCAATTTAAGTATCTGATATAGAAATTGGAATTGAGAATTCACATTCAGGAAATGTCTGATAAAGAAAAAAAATCCAGTTGGTGTAAAAAGTAACCGAAATTTTTGTTCCGCTCACTCAGAAAGTACGAGGTGATGTCAAGTACTATACCTTTATAAGGCATATGCCCCAGGGGGAAGGGGCGGGGAGATTCCCATAAAACTAAAGGACCTCTTGACACTATTGTCTATATATTGAGGTTAGAGAATTGGAAATGACTTTTGCCTTCAGGAAAACCTTGCTTCTTTTATTAAGGAAAACTTACTATCATTGCTTTTTTTGTTTAAGGTAATCACTGCAAGAACGGAGGCATCATGACAAAACACAAGAACCACATGTTCAAGTGTTTGTGTCCTCCCAAATATGGCGGACCTCTCTGTGAAGGTGCGACAAGAATTGTAAGCTGTAACAACCTTTTTTCATTTATTCTGGGCAATACAAAACCAATTTTTAGGCGACAATTTTCTCAGAAAATGATATATTTCTTTTATATATATTTCTTTGGTAGACAATTCAAGAGGCCATAAAAGTTATGTTCACACCACGTTCGCTAATCTAATTTTCCAGAAATGAACAACATTTGAACAGATATATTAAGATCAATAACGACGAGGCGACAGGTTCAAGTCGTCACAGAGGAGCGTGCACATCTGCCAACTGTGAATATATCACACATTGACGTTTTTCAGCAATTAGGATTTTTCAGCAATTAGTTCGAGCCATTTTTTTTGAGATGTGAAATTGATTCCATTATGCCGTAAAAGGTCATCCCGTTTTTTTTCGCTTCAAGTAAATCTTTGCATGATGTCATTGTTTATGCTGGATGATATCCTGGGCAGGGAGGGAATCTCTCTCGATATCTAATTTTTCTCCATTAACCTGCGATCATGGTCGGTCCTTAGATTTTCCCATTTTCTTTGGGAGGCCTGATCGCAGACTATTTCTATATTTGCTACGTCAAACGTAAATAACAATCGTTTTCATTGTCTCATCGAGCGCCATATACTGATACGATAATTTATAAACAGAAAAGGAACAAACATTGTATATCTCCTCTCCTACAAATTGGGAAAGACGCCGGGAAGTCTCCAGGCATCGCATTTCGCAATTTTGTCTACTTATGGATATCTATTCGACTTTGGGCATTTTGTGGGTTAGGGTGAGGGTTGAAAACTATGGCAAAAGCTCAATAAATTTATACAAACGGTAGAATGTGCAGTCATAGTTATTGGTGCAATCCAACTAACTAAGCGAATGCAAATTATTTTTTGACACTGGTGCGAAACAACTTATTGAATAACAAAAGAATAACAAAGCAGCACATATGTTAGATGCATATTCTTTTGAAAAACACACATTTTAAGCTAGTTCAAAATGAAGGTTTACACAAATTAGGCTGAGTACCTGCTTAGGGCCTGTTTACATGGAGTGGGGGACCCCGGTCTAGTGGGGTTGGCTTCTTTTGTTTTCACGCTCTGGGGGACACAAAACAAAAGAAACCTACCCCACTAGACCGGGGTCCCCCACTCCATGCAAACAGGCCCTTAGTTTTGATGGTAGAAAGAATAGGGTGAAAACCTTCTTCCCACGCTCCGTGTAAAAACCCAACATTAGAAACATTATCACCTTCCATACGTCAGCACCTTTGTCTCTGAGAGTTCAAAGCCCGACTTTCACGGTGTATTGTGATTTTTGCTTCCACTATTTACGTGCCGTGATTTGTTGGGGGCTGAAGAGGAATATTCCATTTTTTTTTTCTCGACTTGAGACTCTAAAGAGTTGACCATGTGAACTACTTCCTTGAATCCTGATTTTCTTGGTGAATCGAATTATATGTAACTTTGCAAGAATAGTATAAAGTTGAGCGCTGCAGTTGGTCTCGTAAAGTGAAGTTATAAACAGCCCAGCAATTTACTTACAGTAGTCGGCGTTAAACGAATTTCACGTATAGAAAGGCTAGAAATTGAACTTATTTGAAACTGGCTAGTTCCACTTCCGCAGAACTTCCGCTAAATCGGAAAAACGTATTGCATTTTTCATGTAAAATTTGGACAAATTTTTATCGTTCGTGTAATCCAACAAAAATTGTCGAAAAGAATTCTCACACCAAAATTGCTTAAGCAGCGAGCGCAGTCCAGAACACGTGTAACACTCTAAGTAGTCAGAATAATGTTCAAATTAGACATCTTGGATTCTCACTTAAACATTTGCAAGCCTACATAAGTTAAGCCTTACTGAAAGATGTACCAGCGCATCATATGGTAATTGCACAAGTTTGAAGTCTGCGTAGGGGGAGGGGAATTCTCATTGTAGAGTCAAATGTCATAAATGACTGAAAAATGAGAGGGAGCAAGCCCAAGTTTTCGTTACTGAGAGATATCTGTATCTTAAAGCTTGTCAGGATTGAGCAGTAGATTTTTGACGCAATGACTGAATCCTCTACGAATTTAAGCTGGAAAATTGATGAAATGCCAATAATAATAACAAAATATATGTATGGTTTTAACATTAGTGTCCATTAAAATAATTTTCAATTATTGTGTTCTTCTTTGGTGCAATTACTTCTTTCAGATACATTATTTTGCTACTATAATCCGTGTAAAAATGGAGGCACGTGTGAGGAACACGGAATAGGTTATAAATGCAGATGTACACCAGGGTTTGAGGGACAAACTTGCGAAGGTGAGGACATCTCTTCCATTTATAGCTTTGTAAGAGTATTCACATTTCATCGAAATCATATTTATAAGTTTGTTTATTGTGAATAGGTCTCGCAACATCTATGGTTAGTGCAAGAATAATTACATTTATTTACTTCTTAGAAATCGACCAAATGATGATTTGTCTATTTCTTTTTCTATCACAGTTTTCCTTTCATCGTAGATCACATGTCAAACAACATTTCGCCATCAATACTATTTGAAACATGCATGTCTTTTGTCAAAATGTTGGTGTCTTGTGTAATGATGCGTTTGTTCATTCAACAGAACGGAATTTTTGCAAGCCTAACCCTTGCTGCATCCATGCTAAATGTGTAGAGACTCATGACAGTTTTAAGTGCATCTGTGAAGAGGGTTATAAAGGAGAGAAATGTAAAGGTAAAGATATACTGTTTCATAAATAGAAAACAGTTGAATCCACGATTTCTGCTATCATCTTGACCACAGTCACCATCATCATCATCATCATCATCATCATCATCATCGTCGTCGTCGTCGTCATTAAAATCATCTTCAACGGAATATTTAAGGAAGGGTTCTACATTCTGCTCAGTTTCTGGCATCTTGAGAGAGTTCTTGTAGAAATGACCTGATTTGCTTTTCAGGCGGCCATCCTTTCCTAATCATTACCTGAGATGGCTCGCAAGGATTTCATTTATGTTTGCTGCTTTCTTTTTGTCCACACGATGTACGTTTGTAATTGTCCTATCACATTTCTTTTGCTGCAAGATGACTGTTTGCTGGACAGGCTTTACCCCTTTTTTTCAGTTATTATTTTTTTTAATTTGGCCTTTTGACCTTTGTTCCATTACTATCCTGTAACATCAAGGGTGGCGAAAGTGTTTCGTTTCAATCTTATATGCCTGGATATATGATAAAGGTTAAGTTACAAAATAATGCTGGCTGAAAAGAATGTATCTAAGAAAACCCAAACTTCATGTAAATCGTTATGGGCGTTTATTACGGCTTGTACAATTCTTATACTGTAGGCCCTGATGAAACACTCTGAAAAAATGTCTGTACAATTTCTTTCAGATATTGATCCATGCCACCCAAATCCCTGTCAAAACGATGGAATATGTAAAGACGTACAAGGGAAAGTCCAGTGTGAATGCAAACCTCCTCATAAGGGAACATTCTGCACAGGTCAGTTTCTCGTCACATTAGCGTGGGATGCCTCCTATGGTCTATCTAGCCTAAATACCAGTACTTGAAGCCATCTTTTGGTTAAATTTTGTACAAAATCGCAAGATTTGCATAGCTTCATAGGGCAAGGGAATGACTGTATCAATTCACTAAAAGTTGATTACCATATTTCAAGTCTCACGAGTTATGAAATACAGTCATGTCCAACTATTTGCAAGGATTCTTGAGGCGGACTTGAAAATATAAGGACGTTTTCGAAATACCTCAAACTAGTAACTTAATGCTCGGGTCGGACGAATTTATGGGCAGGTGCAGCTGTAGTCTGAGTGTTTTGCTATCATGCAAACAGAAATTTGCGCCACTGCAAAGAAAGTATTCTTAAAGTTGGCATAAAATGGTATCTTAAATATTTGTCTATTATCATTGCCTCAACAATATAATATAGGGACAGTCAATCGATAATTCAAGCCTTTAATGAAAAAGATATAGTATACAAATTTGTAGTACTGATTAAATTAAGACTGAATCCATCAGGAAATTGAGTAATTTTGATTTTAAATGGACAAAAACCTTGTACCAGAATACTTTAAAGCGCATTGCATTCTCTTTTACATATTTCAAGGGCTATAGATGTAGTCATGTGTAATAACACTAAAGAAAATTTCTTATGGGGACCCGAGAAAATAAATGTCAAATTTAACAAAATAACAGCTTGCACATGAAATTTTCAGAATTTTACCTGTGTTTTCACAATCGTAATGAAATTTGGCATTCATTTTCTCTGGCTCCCATAAGGAATTTTCTTTGGTGTTATTATAGGTACCTAATTACATCTCTAACCCTTGAAAAATGCAAAAAAAATAATGCAATATTCTTTAAATTATTCTGGTACAAGGCTTTTGTCCACTGAAAATTAAAATTACTCAATTTTCTGGTGGATTCCGTCTTAATTTTCTGTATCCCTTATTTTTCACAAGAGACACTTGTATGCTATCATAACCCTTGTCATCATGGTGGTACTTGCGTGGAGAATCCACTGGCACCTTGTGTCTGCCCAAATGGATATATCGGCCCGCACTGTGAAGGTAACATCTTAGGCCAAATGTTCCTTTGAAGCAACACCAAAGACCCGAAAGTAAATAAAATCTTGTATCCAATTCATTTGTGTCTCCTTACAGGTGCGTACGCCTATAAAATAGCCAGGTACAGTTGAATCTCGATTATCCGGACTCGTTGGGACTTCAGTAATAAATAGTCCGGATAATCGAAAATATGAATCAAGTTAATGAGACAGTAGGGAGTTTAAGCAAATCGCTACGGCGACCGGAAGTAAAAAAGCCCCGAAATGACGCAGTGCGCATGCTTGGAAATGACCTTTCGCCGAAGCGCCAAATCCTACGACGTGAAGAGCTGTCTCCTGGCGTAGTCGCTATTACGTGAGTATAAAAGTCGACTCTTCTCCTATTTTTTACGATCACTGGTTTTAAAAGCTATCATAGATTGTTTTTCACTTTATCAAGAAAGTATTCGAGGCTTCTGGTTTTCCAGTGAATACGTTTTCCTTGCGTTTTCTCAGTTTGAGATTTCGATCCTCAAGCGAGTGTGCCATGAGTTCTACGCCGCGCCATGGCCGCAGAAAATCCGCCAGTACAAACAAAGGCTAGACGAAAACCGTAAGCACGACTGTTAGCAATAGAGCTAAATGTCACTGAGGGTTGTTTAAACAAGAATAGAATAGAATATCTAAAACGCTGAATTTGTTGATTTGTTGTTAAATGCGGTACAGAAGAAGAAACATCACTAGCAGCTTACTCCGATCTTCATCCGTAGTTTTCTGTTTTGTGTACGAATCGCCCTCTGATGATGTTTACTATCAATATTGTTCTTGGCAAACGAAATTTTTAAATTGGCCGATTTCTTACTTGACCACCATTGAATTCTGTTGTTGATAAATTATAGTGAAATTGGCGAGGACACCCCAGGACACCGCATCCACGACCGCCGTAGCAGAGGTCGCTGTAGCGATTTGCTTAAACTCCCTAACAATAAGACGGGGTGCGGCTGTATGCGCAAGCTATATTTAGTTAAAATGCTTGAATATATAGAGTGAAACCAAACTCTAAACGAAGTACGCACAAGTCCTGTGCGATAAAAAGGGTAGAAACAAGAACAAATATGAGTTTCGATCAAAGTAAACTTGCCGGCTCGAAAAATATCATCCTCAATACATGTGGAGAAACATGTAACGTGGTCAGTAAGGCTCACTGGCGCAGAGACAACATCATCTCACTTAGAAATCAAAATCATTTTGGTGCGTATACAAATGGACTATCATTTTTGCTAAAACAATTTATAAAATGCCAGTATTGAACCAACGAAACCGTCCGTTTTTTTTTAATTTACAAAGGTGCTACTTTTAATGAAGAAACGCATCAAAAAAACGCATTAAAGTTACGTATTAACCTAGGAAATGCCCTATACCCGAGATACTTTAATTTTACCATAAAGTCATATGACGTCACAGTTTGATTTCATTATATCACTAATGGTGGCCTGCTTTGCTTTAGATCACGTGTGTCACCCGAACCCGTGCGTCAACGGAGGGAGTTGTCAGGTTGAAAACAACACTGGGCACCAAAGATGGACTTTCAAATGCGAATGTCCACGAGGGTTTATTGGAAAACTGTGCCACAGTATGTAACATAACAAGCATTTCTAAGGATTTTAGGGTTCGGTCTTCCCCTCTCTCCTCAGAAACGCTTGATCGCCGATAAGTACCAAACTGATTCTACAAGAAGAACTTAATGTTAACATCGATGATTGAATTTTTTCAATTTTGATGAATATTCCCCGTGAGGTTTTCTTAGATAGTGTCATTTGTTATAACAGACATATTTATTGCAATCAGTATCAACAAGATTGAACTACCAGGATAAACACATTCTTTTCCTGAAGGTTATCTATAGCTATTAACACTAAAGAGACAGGCTATCTTTTATCGGGGTACATGGACAGTAGGTCGAGAGAATCTATTCTGTGATGACGAGGATGCTAAGACAGGCATGCATGTTTATAAGAAGCTAAAATATTCTCATATTTCTATTCGCAGTTCCGCATCCATGTTTAGACGTTGTTTGTTTAAATGGTGGAACCTGCTTTGACGGACAAACTACACAAGATGTAGCTACAGACTTAGAACTGACTTCTCGACCCTTGATGAATGCTGTCTGCCACTGTTTGCCTGGCTTTACAGGGAAGAGATGCGAAAGTATGTAAACTGCATCTGGAATGTCTTGCTTGTTTTGGAATCGTTCCTGAAATTGGGATAAGTGGGTTGTATGTATCACTGCATGAATAGGGCAGAAAATTTCCGCAAAAAGTTGTGAATAACGTCAGGAGCCAATTGGAGGCTGCCAATGGTAAAACAACTGCAAACAGGAAGTATATTGGTAAACTTTGATGGGTTGAAGAAGAGAGAAAGCATTAACAATCGAATTGATGGTTTTCCTGTGGTGCAAAGGTATTTGCTCACTTTTTTACTTAAGGGACATGTCCGCTTACAACAGTTTCTAACAGTATTGCCTTCACGTAGAATCTTTCTTTTTTAATGGTAGTCCCTTTGAGTCGCGGTATTTTACGAGAGGTTGCCGCACATGAAAGCCTGTGTTCAGCCTCCCCGTTACCTATAGTTTGAGGGGGGAGGCGGCTGTATACGTACATGCTAGAGGGATAAGGTCGTATTGTCTACATGTAACCTGCGATCAGGTGTAGTTTTAGAGATATAGGGAGGGTATGATCGAAGGCTAATTCACATGTTAGCGTAATAAATGTATATTTGGTTCTTTCGCTTTTTTAGCCAAAATATGTGACATGTGCCACATTAACGCTACCTGCATCAATAACCGTTGTGTATGCAACGCCGGCTTCATTGGAAATGGATTTCAATGTGATGGTAAGCAGAGTATTATACACAGTGTGAAGAGTACATTTTTTCAAGGTAACACGGTAGAATGGCCCACTGCTTTGAAGGCAAATTAGACTTCGAGATTTTGTTTCTGTTACCGTAAGGTGAAGGTGTCGTCTTCTCACGAATGTTAACGTGCTAAGGTCAAAAATTAACTGAAGTTATTTGAGTAACAGTTGGCAAGTCTCAATTGTGCACCCATATTCTTGCTACTGATGGATTTTCTACCTCCCCTTTATCAGCTGATTAGCTGATTTCTTATATATTTTATGTCTTCTGTGTTTACTCATTTCAGAAATCGACGACCCATGTAAGCCAAATCCTTGTAAGAATCTGGGAGTTTGTACTTTGGGACCTGACAGATCTTACACATGTGAATGTAACAAGGGATATTGTGGGCCACACTGTGAATGTGAGTTAAAAATTTATTTTTAAATACATTTCATACGTTCGTTTTATACATTGTAAACTAATCGTCTTTATCGGTTAATTGGATGAGTCCTTTAGTTTTTTGTGAGAACGTTGTGCCACGATTTTTCTCACGTTCAACGATAGCGCACAACAATGTCGCTGGGTGGTAAATGCATTGATCTAAGAAAAGGAAATTCACCTTGGAGGGAAAATAAGGACAGTTGTATTACATTTTATGAAATCTTTAACTACAGAATGGCAAGTTTTTTTCCATATAAAGTTGACATATTTAACTTCTCTTTTCTCTTTGCTTGTCGATGTGGCATTTTTTAACAGCATTATGCGATCCTTGTGTGAGCAATCCCTGCCAAAACAATGGAACATGCACACCACATGGCAATTCCTATGTTTGCACGTGTTCACCAGGTTTCACAGGAGTTAACTGTGAGCGTAAGTACACCAGCATCGTTGTGGCGTGCCCATAAAACGTTTTTTACTATAATAGGTTTTATGGGCCGTTACGTGTCTAAGATGTTCTCATCGTACCAGCTAGACAAATTTATACAAATTCAGAAGCAGTTTGAGGCTACATTTACACTATACTGGATATAGCTTTAAAAAAAAATACTCCTACCTAACTATGAACACCTGTTCACACTGCAACGAGGAGTGTGACAGAAACCTATTCAATATGTGTTGATATAATTTCAAGACCAGCACGGCGCAACAGGAATTCTTTTCTTCTTTTACAGAGACCTCTCCGAAATGACCCTTCTTACCTGTGAACAAAAGTCTTTGCGAGATGGCTTTTGTCCTGGAGTACGAGCTATCCATGGATAGACATTTTTTAGCCTAATAAATTATTGGAGAACTGAAAGTGCATAGCTACTTGTATAATGCTTTTCATTATTCCTATTTTTTTTTAACAGTAGTTATAATTTGGGTAATTCAACCAGTAAAGCTCAGAAATAAAATTTTTGATTTTCACACACTTCAGTTTCTATGAGTTACTTCATTTTGATGTGTAAACTTGACTAATTATTGTTCTTTCAGTTACTTTAGCAAATCCGTGTGATTCACAGCCTTGTTTGAATGGAGGAACGTGTGAGAATGATATAGCCAAGAATGATTACCGCTGTTCCTGCAAAGGAAAATTCACGGGAAAAAATTGTCAAGGTATTTGACTCATTACAGTCTTTATGGTGTATACATAAGGTTGCCTTTCTTAAAAAAAAAAGAACCTTCAATTAATCACTTCACCAATAGTAGTATAGTCTGGACCGGTTAGTCCGTTTTTTGGGGCAGGAATCATGTTATTGACAGCAGGAACACATTAGCCCCGATAACGTCATAGCCTTTCTCTTGATTTCACAGATAAAATGCGGCAGAATGAAGTAAGGGTTCAGTCATGTTTAGGTTGGTTTGACGGCTGGGAAGGCTTCAAGATCTATGATGCCAAAGTTTATTTAAAGTTGTCAGCGCTTGTCCTTACTTGGTCATCGTGTCAGTTGTGGTAAATTCACTGAATCGTAACGTCATTACGCATGTAATGTTCTCCATCTGCCGTTCTCGCCGTTTCGTTGTCCAGTGGAGACAACGAATTGTTCCAGTTTTGGTTCATTGATTCTTCGCGCCAAAATCGGGGATATTAATTTTGGCGAGGGCAAACTATTGTGGCTCATTCTAGTGACTTAGCATAATTTTCACTTACTTAATTAGTTACAATAGATTGGGGATGAAAAACGTTACTATTTAGAAATAAAAGGCATATTGACGTAAAATGTTGTTTTTAGAGTGCAGCTGTCTTCAAGCTACTGCTCCTACCGGAGAACCTTTGGTTGCAAAATGTGACCTCGAAGGAGAATGTTACTGTCAGTTTTTTCAAGGTCGATATCCCGTCTACTCGGCAGATAAAGGTTGTCAGCTTGGAGGTAAGATTTGTAAGCTTCTAGTCACTCGACAACGATCCACTACATGGCAATCCTTTTTTATCAAACCGTTGAGATGGTATTTTAATGAACTTTATGAAAATGCGCTTGATCTAGCTCGTGACGACGAGACCTGGTATATCGAGAGACTGTAAAACAGGTTTGGTGCCCTACGTAGACCAAAGGAGTCCACACTATACGCTGTGGCGAGCGAATACAGTCAGCTCTTTCTTAGAAGGGTTCTTGTAATGAGGGCATCCAGATCGAGTTGTTCTTTTCTTCATGTTGTTCTAAAGAACGGATGAATAAACTGCAATTTCAGTCTAAGCAAGGTGTTTGTCAAGAGAGATTTAGTAATAATGGCAACCTAAGAATCTAACCATAACAACCAATATTAACTTAAGCAAACACCAGGCTTTCAAATAGCGACTTTTAAATTTAATGTCACTGCGTGCTAACCACATCACCCCCTCGAGTGCAACGCACTACACTAAGATTTCCTCCCGGTATCAGCTCCATTATTTCTTATGCTGTTTAAGAAAATCGCGGGAAATGGTAGTAAGAACAAGATGTCCGGAAAAAACCGCAGGAAGGTCAAGACCATGGCTCTCATAGGAGTTTAGGCCTGATTTTAATGCCCTCCCTTATAATCTGCTTCTTCAAACTCTCGGTTTTCTCTTTCCTTGCCAGATTCTTATGTTTGTGATTGCGTTTTGCTTTAACGAGCTGTTTAAGCCTTATAACCAAACATGTTAAATTTATGTTTAAATCCAGACTGGACACTATTCCTTCAGTTTTTGAGGTACGAGGATCGGAGCTGCGAATCGCTATAAAATGTACTTTTCTATGTTTTAATAATTAAGACAATAAATTAAAATTGTTTCCTCTTTGTTTAAGGTTCTGATCTATGCGGGCCTGCAAATCCTTGCAAAAATAATGGTACATGCTTACTACAGAACGGTGGCTTATCTTTTGTGTGTATTTGCCTAGACAAATATTACGGGAAAACCTGTGAATGTAAGTCCTTGTTAGATACACTAAACAATAACCATAAAAACGTAAACTTACACTTCAATCGACCTTCAATTTCAAATTTAGGTTTACAATATTGTTTACCATCATCAAAGTGAATTCAAAGATTCAAGACAATTCTCTAGCCTGATATTGTTAATGAAAAATCATATCCGGCATACTTCAGTAAAACCCCGCTTTACATATTATTTTGCAGTCTTCTTTTTTAAAGATTATTTTCTCAGTCAGACGTTAATCTTTAAACGGTAGCTCAATATGTTCTCATGTTTTTTGTTTTTGTTTTTTTTTTTAAATTTTAGGCACCGAATGTCTGTGCAACAATCCATGTTTAAATAACGGAGTCTGCGTGGATATTTCCACCCACCTTGTTAAATGCACTTGTCCTAGTGGTTTCACTGGGAACTTTTGCGAAGGTCAGTAAAATCGGTTTACTCTTTAAACCATATGCTGACGACCACAATACTTTTTGTATGATGTACTGCAGCTCCGATATATGGCCACAGTTATTGCTTCAGTGATGACGTGTTTCACTGTGGACTAGCAAAGCCTTTACTTTCCATATTGACTTGCAAATGCATTTTCTCGCCCTGCCAACAGCTGTCATTCCTACTGTTGGTCCAGGAGCATGTCACTCGAATCCCTGTGTGAATAAAGGAACTTGTGTTGATAGAGCGTTTGGGTCTTATGACTGCATCTGCACTCCTCGATTTACCGGACCTCATTGTGAAGGTAAATGCAATCACGGCGAACGTAACTGCCTTTATTGCTATGTTAATCTGCTATTTGTTTCATGATTATCTACAAAAATAATCGTTATTCAGATAAAAGGATCGATTAACATAAATATAGAAATGCCTTTAAATCACCTCCAATTTCAATTCCTTCTTCATCTTCCACCGTAACTCATCGCTTTAGCATCAAAACTATTCTTTATTTTTAAGTACCTTATTATAGGAAATTAACGCTCCATGAAATTAACGCGAATCTTTAAAATTCGCGTTCATTTAAGTCGCGTTAATTTTGTTGAGCGTTAATTTCCGCGACGTTAATTAAGTGCAGCGTTAATTTCCGCGCTCTTAATTTCTAGTATTTTAAAGTGGCTCGACTGGTTTTTTTGGGGGGGATACCTCCCAAGTTTGAGCATTAACTACGTCGCCATAAATAAAGATATCGAAAAAACATTACCACAAGTGTATTATATAAAGATGAAAATTTCTTAGGATCTGGGTTTTATTGCAATCGCAGTCGCCATGACAACGTAATGACGCCATTACGTTTTTTATTTATCTTTGTGTTTCTCTGTACCGGGAGTTTTTTTTAAGAAATCGCTTAAGGGAGTTTGTACCTGCCATAATTGAGGCAAGTATGGCAAAGTTTGAACAAATTCTGTGAGAGCGTTTTCGAGATATTTTGCGTTCATTTCCTATAATAAGGTATGTAGTTTAGGATTTTCCAACGAATACTTTTTTTTTACACAAAAATTAACTCAGCATTGCCCACATATATTTTGCGTCAACGACTCAAATCTTCCCGGAGATTACGAGCCACTTATATTGTACATTTAACTTGTCTCCTGTCATTCCCTTCAGTTGATAAATGTGCAGACTGTGACACCAATGCGGACTGTGTAAATGGAAAATGCCGATGCAAGATAGGTTATGTTGGAACAGGATACGCATGCGTTAAAGGTAATCTAGCTGCTACGAACTGAAGATGATGGACAAGAGAGTTCATTGTGCAGGCGGGACATGTCTCAGTACAAACTCTCTTATAGGCTAAGGCCTAACGTTTAACTTTTCATGAGAAGAACTAAACTGGGCGGGTTACGTTCATGAGAAGTTCGATTTCTGTATCAGTTAAGTTTGCCTCAATAAGCTTGGGTTGACCATCACGTTCTATCCATCTGCTTCAGTTGGTAATGTTGTATGATTGATTTGATACTCAATTAGTTCTACGTATGATCCAACAGACATTTAGGTCTACCCAAATTACAATTTGGTTCTTCTCATGAAAAGTTTGACGTTTAATTTTGGTTTTATAGTGAGCAGTTATAAGTTATCATTACTTCGTTCACTGCTAACTTTAGACATATTTCTCCTTGACATGTCCCATGAAATTAAACCTCATTAGGAGACTATTGGGTATAGCTCCATGAATGTTCCACTGTTGCTTCGGACCTTCGTATGTAAGGTATTTTTGTGCACGTACGCTGGCAATCCCAACTGGCGGCCCTTTCTACGCCCCTGCTACGCGTATCTCTAGCGTTTATTACCTGGGCTTAGTTGCTGTTACGCATCTCTGTGGCATTTTTATGCCGCATGTCCTTCGTGTTTCAGTCCAGGTTTGCATCACCGGGCAGTTGATCCAAAATTGATGCACCAGCGCTCATGGCGTGCCTCAAAAACTTAAGGAAAGGCTGTACGGTGCTAGCTATAGAAAGGTATTCTTACATTAAGAAAAATAGAAACTCTGAAACTACCATTGCTAGTTTGCGGTCCATTCCTTAGGGTCTCAATTTTGAGGGAGAAAAAGAACAAACAAATATACAAACAACAACACTTTGAATAACCGTGGACTTTTAATTTCAGATGAAAAAGAGAAAGAATGCGAGGAGGTTGTGTGTCCCATTACTCAACACTGCGTCCGAGGTGTTTGTGTATGTCTACCAGGAAACTTTTGTTAACTGAGTAAAACTATCCTGTGTTGGGCAGTTATTTGTTATCATTTTGAGTAACGTTTCGTTTAACCTAAAGGCGTCCTAAAACGTTCTGTCGAACGTAAAATGAAAGAGAGTCGAGCCTGACGGATAAGTTATAGCATTAATTGCAAAGGTTACCCTAATACAATACTTGTGTATATTAATTAGATCAGGAGACAGTATTGGATCAGTGACGTCAAAAGAGATTGCTGCCATTTTAGATTTCACTGATCGCTCAAACAACTTTTTTTCTGTCAATCTGTATGAAATATCACAATTAAACATTTCGCTACAAGCGTCTCAAGAAATCGTTTGTGTGCCTTTTTTATGTTAAAAGTTAGCTCGATTTATTTCTCTCCCTCTTTATGCTCAGTGCAAAATGTTGTTTAACTTACCTTAACTTAACGGACTAAGTGACTTTTATGTTCACATAAAAGATATAGCTAAAACTGGAGAACGCTGAGAGATATAGCCTGCGTAGCCTAGGGGTTTCTGTTAGGAGCATTACTCAGAAGCGAAGCCGCAAAAACGCGCGTAAAGCGCGCGCGAACGTTACCACCTCAATTTCCTCGCCTTTTCTCTGATCTGCCCTCGCCCGGCTTTATTACTTTGCACGCCCATCCAAGGCCGTCATGCTACGCAGGCTATGAGAGATATTAAGTAAAGGACTAAATACTTTTGGATTTATATTTGTACCCAAAATTGAACATCAGTAAGCAACGCAACACGAAGAAAGAACAAAAACACTGTATACACATATGAAAACTGACGGATAGCTTTCTTTTATTTGCCTATTTCTTTTCAAATATAGAATGTTTTTTCGACTTTATAAGGCCATGAAAATCCATCTGCTAGCTTTATCTAGGCCTTTTCAAAGACCCAAAGGACAGATTTCACTCCCCTTTTATATACTTCAACAAGTAAAATCTCTACCCTTTCATATACCTGAGGCCTGAAAAAGGTACCCTTTTCGGGCGGAGCTTCCCCTTATAGGCCGCCATCATAGGGAGTCTCACCCTGACAGCAGAACCTTCTTTCGGTTTGTCGATTGCCATGAATTCTAGGAATTCTAGCATGAATCGAGTAAGATATTTGTTGAGCATGCGCTGGATGTTGTTAATATACAGCAGGGTCCAACTCAGGCCTGATAGCCATACATACATACATATATATATACATATACATACATATATATATACATATATAACCTTTATTTTAACTCGAATTTTAGAGTAGCTACATATTATGTAGCTAATATCTTCGAGAAACAAATTAAGATATCTAAAAACTGAAAAAAAAATATTACACACAAAATAACACAAAAATTAGTGAAAAGTAATCAAGCGTGTTGAAACTTTGCACATGTCGCTTAAATCATTAAAAGTACATGCACAGTTCCTTAATTCGTCGAGAAGATCGTTTCATTGCTGGGAAGTTGGTACAGCGGGCTACGTTATATACAGACGTTTAATCCTGGAAAGGCAGTTTCAATTTATTATTAAAAAGAAAGCAAAATAATTAACTGACACAATCGTCCTTTTCCTGTAAACTAGGAGCATTTTAGTTTAATGTTTCTCTAAGTGTCTCAATACTCGTAAACTACGTAAATTTTGGTTTGTCCGTTGTTGTAATTTTCACAGTTGTGCATAACAAGTTGAAATCCTTAGCTGCAGTCGTGATACTATGATGGACCTTTTAGCGTTCCAGCATATTAAGTCAGCAAACAATTCACCTCAGAGAATGGAATCCACAACAGTCTTGGATTCTTCATTCCACTCCGGTGATTCCGGATTCCAGGTACTGGATTCTGGATTCTTTGTCAGTGGAAGTTGCTTAATTGTATTCTAGATTCCAGCGGTTGGTGGGATCCAGATTCCTGGAGCTGTATTCCTGATTCCAAAGCCCAGGATTCTGGATTCCACGAGATAACGTTTCTGGATTCTGGATTACACGAGCAAAACTGCTCCGGATTTCGGAATACAGATTCCCTTACATGGGCAACACAATGGAACGAGGCTTGGGTAGAAAATTTCGTACAAAGTGTAAATTGTCACCCCAAGCCATGATATGGTTCTGGAATGTAAGAACGAACTATATATCGGTAAAATTTGTTATTTTTTTTAAGACTTGGTATAGTTCAACCAAAACTTAATAACAAATTCCCCTCTTATCTAACGCAGGCAGCGCTTGAGAATGTCACGATTTTGATTTATTTCGCTTCTTTCCTGCCCAAAACGTACGGTAATAATGGACACCCAAGCAGTCTTAAACAACTGAAACTCGGTCCGATTTTAGTCCACTTTAAGTTTGATGTTGTATGTGAGAGAGAGAGAGAGAGATCAAAAAATAACTCAGGTCAGGAGTTACTGTTTATATCCTTCTTTCAATATTCTACTTGGATTTCGAAAGTTCTTTCAACCTCCATCTAAAAGGAAAACGGAAAAGGGAAATAAGACGCTCAGAAATATAAAACAGACCGGAAAAAGGTTAAAAACGCAATCTTTCCATACCATGTAATCACTTTTAATTATTTAAGTATTCGAAATAGAGATAGTAAGAAACTTGGAGGAAATAAACACTTTTTAAAAAACCTCTTTGTCTTCTGAGCACACGTTCGATTTTCTTTTTGTTCGGGGGAGGGGGTACTCGGGATTTCAAGTGACGGGGATGATCGAAGGATTTTTTTCGGTTTGAAATTTTCGATTCCGGGGTTTTTTTAGGTACGAAAATTTGGCAAGTATTTTTTTGGGTAGCTTGATTTGAGTAGGTTTTTTGGGGGGAAATTAAAAAGAACCGGTAGTGCCCTGGCTGCGTATTTCTGCGAGTAAAGTACAAACAAACGTGTTTTGCTGTTGTTTAATAGTTAATTATGGTGTCGCTTTACATCGCACGTGTTATACAATAGTCTGCATTTTTGGTACAGGGATTTTTTTGGCTTTTGCTGGAAGCCCTAGGGTTTTTTTGGGGTCTTGACTTTTGGATCCATTCGATCATCCCCGTCACTTGAAATCCCGAGTACGCCCCCTGAGGGGTTAGGGTTACTTCTAAGATCCTTTTGAGAAGGCCTTTTGGATACCATATCGTTGGAAACATCATAACAACAAGGAATTGATTTGAAATACATTATCTTGTCCATAAGAATTGATCCAAAACGCGGTGTCAAAGCTTTTCATTGCTCATTTTATTTCTCATATCATTACTCTACGTCATTTTCTTGCTTTAAAATATCGGTTGTTCAAACGTAACGTCTTAAAAGTTGTAACGACCATTTCATTTTACAGTGGACTGACCTTCTATCTTGCAAGTGTTGTCGATAAAGTAGAACCCTTTGATACAAGAACATTCACCGTCTACACAAACAGCATTTAAAGGACATCTGTGGCACACTAGCTCTGAAAAGAAAAAGGTACGCCGACAACCATTTTAATTTATAAGCATAACTTAAACAAGCGTTGGTCGCCTTTAGTCAATATCAAAAGTCCATGATCATGAGAACTTAGTCACAGAAAACAATAAAAACAGAAATAAAAAGATGAGACGTAAGTAAAGAAAACTAAGGAATTACATCACGCAGCAGCTGACTGGATGATCGAAGTCAATATCTACAAGTGAGTGCTGATTATGAAATGGAGGATTGATCATATGTGCAACCAGCTTGGTAGTATAATTTGGAACTCACCCGACTGCTGAGAGAAACAGCCACGCTGGAAAAAATTTGTTTCGGAGCCTGCGAGTCTAACCCAGGCTCAGCTAAGGTGACAATGTTCTCGCTACGTGGTGGAGTACCTTGAGTGATCTCGGCCAAGGATGCGTTCACTTTTTTGGCCACTGACTGGTCCGTGGAGGACTGTGTATCCTGGCTAGGTGCGGCTGGCCATTGCGCTGTCATTGCCTCCGCGACAGCTAGCTGTACAACGTTAGAAATCGAGGCCGAGAGGGCCAGAATGTTGACGGCCATGAGAGGCTGCTCTGTTGAAGCTTCAGCTTGTTGTTGAACACTCGGTCCAGGGCGGGTTTCGATCAGTTCTGTCACGCGAGCCCGCTTCGCAGAACTTGGCGTGCGTGTTTGAGACGTTCGCTTCGGCTTAGGAGGCATAACTTAGATAAGTAAAAGTAATTGATAAGGCTAAATGCCATATTTTTCCGCTAAGATAAGATAAGATATCAAGACGGTATGAGTCAAAGAGGAGCAAATAAATTGAAGGTCTGAGCCGCGATGTGTATTTTTCCTTTGAGTTTTGTTTTTTGTTTGTTTGGTTTTGTTTTTATAACACACTGTAATGTGGCTAAGCTACGCACACATAATGGTGACGAATAGCCGAACTCAGCCGAAAACCAAATGGCGAGCCATGTAGCAAGAACTGAATGACATAAATGCCTGGTGAAAGAATATCAAAGTGCATTGAGGACACACCCAAATAAGGGCGGTCGAATAGGATTGCACACTCATAATATTCACCAGGACACAAAGTATGAATAAGGCCAACGCGAGAAATTACAAACAGTTATTCACGAAAGGCAAACAACATTTCTGTAGAACTGTAAGAACAATGAGTGCAGCCAAAATAGAATGCACCCAATTAAATAAAGGCGGCAAGTCAGTAACATAAACGGCTGTCACTAAAACAAAGGCATGGCGAGGCAAGTACGTAAACTTTAGAAGGCTCGATTGGGAAATAAAAAGAAAGGTTGAAAATTCAACAAGACCAAATTGTGCCGAACAGGCTGAAGGACCTTAGGATTGCTCCCCTAAGACTACGATGGTATTTTTCCTGACTCAAGGAATTAAGATGCACAACGTACCATCACGTGCGTAAAAGTTCTGAGTCGGGCGCCAAAACCCCCTATGGCCCCCCAAAAATAGCATAAGGTATAGGCTCTAAAACTACCCGAAGGTATTTCGTTAAGAGCTTGGCCTTACGATTAAAGACTAATGCGCCCTGGCCATGATGGTCTGGCACACGCAGACAACCTTAACACCATAGGTGTCATGAAAGAGCCTAACAAAATCGTCAATAGCTGAGCCAACATGTAAAGGGTCAGAGTCTATTAAATCATCGGAACCCAACTGCATTATAATTATTTCCGGTCGAAAGGTCTCGATAACATTCAAGTCAAGATGTAGCGTTTTGGAAACCGTACGGTCACCTCCTCCGTGCCATTTTATAAAGGCACGGTGTGATAACTTGAAATCAACGCGAAAATGGTGGGAATCATGGGACAGGACAAAGCGCAAACGGC